GAGTATAACATTATAACATGATATAAAACTCAAAAAAGTTGATTTTACATGATATTGCCCCTTTAATGTTTCTGGATGTGTTTAATCTAATTTTTAGTTTTTAATAATTGTGTGTTATTGTTGTATAGCCAGGAGACTACAGATAAAAAGTAACTTTAGGTTAATTCTGGCTTTTTTAACCTATAAATTGTCACATGTTTTATATAATTGCACTGAGCTTTAAAAAAATAAATCATGAATCATGCTTAATGTGTTCTAACCTGAGTCACTCAGGGAATAATAATAACTATTGTGTTTCCTTGTATTTTGTGCAGAGTTGTAGATACCCGTTGATCATTGTCAGGGTTATAAAAACATCAGTAACAAATCAGAATTGTGATGGTTGTGTGAAGTCTTATAGACACTGGTGGACTTTAGACTGAACAGAAATCAGTTTAATCTGTTTCTCCAGTCAGGCACAGTAGAGGTATCATCATCACGTGGGCTTGCTGTGCTGCATGATCTGCAGTGTCGTTAATAAAACAACCTCATTCCTCGTTTGTTCTCACTCACACCCCMCAACAAACAACCCCCACCTCACCACCACCAACCTCCACCTTTCTGACTGAGGGCAAAGATAGTCAAGCATCAAAGAATCTGCAGGAAGARGAAGAAAAAGAGGCAGAAGTTGAAGAAGTTCAGCAGTGGAGMGAGTTATGAGATCTGAGTGGTCCAGTCAGTTTCAGTTTGAACACAGAGGAACCAAACATCACTTCTGACCTCTGGATATAATGTTCTTTCTACTGACAACACCAGAACATACAGGCCTGTGTTTGGAAACCAGGACYGAACAGGTCCTTCTATATCAGACAGAACAGGTCCTTTTGTTCCAGACCAAATATGTCCTCCTGTCCTAACACATTCTCACTCCCGACTCGTCAACATATTGACGCTTTTCCAAGGTTCCCTCTGCGTCTTATTTTGAAGCGTCAGGTGACCCCCTCGTGTCAGTCTTTGCCGCCCGCGGCTTTTCCGGGTTGCACCACCAGGGGTCTTTGGGTCGGGGGTCTGAGGTTAACATGAGGGATCAGGATTTATGGTTAAGTTGAGGTACTGGGGTCAGGGATATGATGCCTGCGGCAAATATTAGGTAATTTTAGGCTTTGGGATGATAGTTTTTGTTCATTTTCTACACTTTCTGAAATTATGACAAAAGATTCCGCCCCATTTTGTCAAAAACGGACGCAAGGRGARTACCCGACGCGTCAAAATCGACGAGCTGGGAGTGAGAATGGGTTGCCTGTCCAGGACCGAATGGCTGTTTCTTTGACTGACTTGTTGGTTTTTAACACTGGTGTGGCCTGAATGTAACAGATATACATAATGGGCCTCATGCAAGAACATGTTCGTATTCTTCTCCTAAATTTCTCTTCCTTTTGTTCGTACAAAGGGTTCGTACAAACA